ACTGGGCACTGCACATGTGGGGATTGAAGAGAAGTGGCAAATCACGCCCAACTGTTACCACGCCTAACCAGGGTTCTTTTTGTAGAAAAAGCCCAGAAGGAACTCATTAGCATAATAGGCCACACCCAACAGCAGAAACTCATTAGCCTATTGGGCAACACCCCTGACAGCACCACTCATTAGCATATTAGGCCGCAACCCCATGTTACCAGAAGTGTGCTCATCCAGCCACACCCACCTTTTGCTTCTTATTCTGTTTACCTTGTTTGTGGTCAAAACCCAGGGCTTTTTTTGTAGCAGGAACTCCTTTGCATGTTAGGCCACACACCCCAATGTAGCCAAGCCTAATGAGTTCCTGCTGTTGGGTGTGGCCTGTTATGCTAATGAGTTCCTGCTGGGCGTGGCCAACTCGGGAGCCAGCCGGAACTCCGTTCCTGTGCGTTCCTGCCCAAAAATAGCCCTGCGCCTAACTGGACACAGGGTGGGGACCAAAGCTCCCTCTAAGCTGTGGAGTCCTATAAGCTAAAATTCTACTTTCTGTGAGCAGGTGATTTGGTTACTGCATAAATTAGTTTGCTCTGGAGCCCTCCTTCCTGAGCTAAGACAAAAACCTGTGAGCCGGAGCCTAAAAAACTGTGAGTTAACTCACACTAACTCAGCTTAGAGGGAACACTGGTGGGGATCTGGGACCCAGGGAGGTCCTCTGTAACATGTTAAGAGCAGCTTCGTGAGTGTCCAGCTCTGAAGAGCAAGGCATCAGTCCCCCATTCCTCCATGAAGGTCAGGAGAGCTTGCATGGCTTCAGCGTCCATTTTATCTTCACAACGACCCTCTGAGGCAGGACAGAGCTGGGTTCAAAACTTTGCTGGGCCATGGTGTGAGCTGGGCAACTCTGGGCCGGTCACCCTCAGCCTGACCTACCTTTCGAAGAGAGAGGAGACAAATACTCTCTCACCCCTTTCCTCCAAGAAGCTCAGGGAGGCAAAAGCAAGTCCCTCCTTCGGAGGAGGTGGTTCGCTGTGCATCTGCGTGAGCCATTGCTCTGACTCGCCTCCTTCCGGTCAGTGGGCAGGCCCAAAACAGCCATGCACCCAGACACACCGGAGTGGGCTGTCCCCTGAATGCAGGGGATTCCTGCTCCGTTTCCTCAGGGGCGCATGCACTGGAGCTAGGCTGGACGAGAGCTCGGTAGACCCAGGTGCAAAAACATTCGGGGGATGGATGCTTTCTGGGAAACGGCCGTGTTTCTCTTCCTAGTTATTCTCAGGCCGCTATTGGCACAGACTGTATGAAAAACTCAGACAACACGACCATGCACCAGTTGTTGTTGTAAAATCCAGCTGTTGCCTTATTGGCCCTGGCCTGGATGGCCCAGGCTGGCTCGCCCGACCTCATCAGGTCTCAGAAGCTGAGTCCTTGGATGGCAGACCCCAGAGGAAGTCCAGGACTGCTCCCCAGAGGCAGGCAGTGGCCAAACACCTCCGAACGCCTCTTGCCTTGGAAACCCTCTGCAGGCTCTCCATAAGCCGGCTGAGACTTGGCGGTGCTTTCCGCCACCATTACCTGACGGGAGAATTTATGACCCTGCAGCTGCAGAGGCAAGGACCCAAATGCAAATCCATCCTTTATGCATATCCAGCTTGTCACAAGCGAAGTGCAGAAACGGAGGCAGCCAAAGGGTTCTGACAGCTGCCCCGTTTTGTTCCTTTTGCCCTTCGCTATCTTTTGCCCCCCTCGTCGCACTGGGACGCTCATTGGAAGAGGGCGTCTGGTTTGCCCCACTGCTTTGGTCAGTGACTTCACGATCCTTTTGCAGAGCGAGCTGCGAACTGACCCTGGCTCTTTCTCTTCTTCACCTAAGGAGAACCTTTCCTCAAGCTTTCCTATAAGAAAGAACAGAACTACGAGGCTAAGGCGGGGCAGAAGACGCTGAGGCTGGCTTGGAAGGTCGATGGTTTCCCCCCGTGACCTGGTCAGTACCAAGGCAGTCCTTTGGACCGATGGGGGAAAGGCAAACTCAGAGTGAAGGTGGCTGTAACTCTCAGCAGAGTGGTGGGGATGGACTGAACCAGTTTGGTGTAGTGGTGAAGTGCGCGGACTCTCATCTGGGAGAACCACTTGCACCTGGCTGGATGACCTTGGGCAAGCTGTAGCTCTGATAAGAGCTGTCCTTGAAAAAGAGCAGTTCCTTTCAAGAGCTCTCTCGGCCCCACCGACCTTACAGGGTGTCTGTCTGTTGTGGGGAGGGGAAGGGAAAGGCGTTTGTAAGCCACTCTGAGACTCCCTTGGGTAGTGAAGGGCGGGGTATAAATCCAATCTCTTCTCTTCTTCTTCTCAACTCACGTCCACGAACCTTAAACGTGGACCACTTTCTCCGCCACATTCAGAATATCGTTTGTCTTCCTCTTTCTTTTTTGTCTTTCTGTGACCATGAGCAGAAAGGCAAATAATTTAAGGTGTGGTGCTATTCTATGAGACTTTGATAGTTTTTCCAAATGGTGGTGGAAACCTCACTTATTTTGTTGCCTTGTTGTGTGCCCTACAGGGACCTGGGAATTTTAATGCAGAGGGAGCAGGGAAATGTCACCCTCCTACAGGGTGCTGTGTATGCACAACGGGGTGGCCAATGCTACTGAGATTCTCCACAGGCCTTTTGGGGGGAAATATTGCCTCTGTCCCTCCCACTCACATTTAAAGAAGAGAGAGGGGAGAGGAGGGAAAGAAACCCTTTGTAGGAATCTGTAATTGCTCCCTTCACTGTACACAGCAAAAACACAGCCCAATGGAAGGCATAGCAAGGGCTCTCCTTCTGCAGGAGGACACGTTCCGTGGTTTCCTCTCAGCGAAAGGATTAAAATGAATAGTTACACATTTCTAGAGGGGTTCTTAGATGTTCGTGAACCCAGTGGCTGCCGGTATCATGACAGGTAAGAGCATGAGTGGAGAAGGAGAACCATCTGGGTGTCCCAGAGCCATCTGGGCCTGGAGAACTATGGCCGTGGTCACACGGAGCATTAGCCACGCTAGAGAGACGGAAGATAGGTGGATTTTCCGGGCACGATCACACTGCCACATCTGGGAAGCATAGAGCTCCCGTAGCTCAACAGAGGCTTCCCACCGAAGATGCGCGGTAAAAAACTAGTACCTCCGAGGTACTAGTTTCCGGAAACCCCAGGGCAAGGGCGGGCACCTGATTTCGTTTCCGGTGAAATCCCGTGGCATCCGGCACCCACCCATGTCCTGTTGTGAAAAGGGTTTTTTTCCCCCAAGTCTCCCCGGGATGCGCACAAGCACCCAATGGTGCATGTGCACACTACGTTTAAAAACAAACAACACAACCCCGTTTGCCGAGCAGCTCCACTCACAGTTTTTTGTCTCCGCTCAGGAAGGGATGGAGGGGACTGGACGGAGGACACAGTTTGCATTCCTCTGCAGCCCTGGAAGGGGTTAAACCCGGGGAACCTTTTGCCAGTGAGGCTGCTTCTTTGCCGCGCTGCCAGGATTGTCCTGTGATTGGCACCTCCCCCCTAACCACGGGACCTCGACGGGGATGTCTGATCGCGCAATCGCGCGTTATTTTTCCCCGGGGCAAACAGCCACGCTTCCCCCCCGCATTTTCTGGCCCATGTGACCGGAGCCGTTGTACCCCAGTTCCCTCCTCTTGGTAGCTGTGTGGGTGTTAAGTGGACTGGGGTGGGGGGCTAGACAGCATCTTGCCTAAGCCCCCCCCCAGCCCCATGCACAAAAATCACAGGATTGGAGCCGTTCTAGATAGGACTGAGCCTCTGCTTGATACTCGTCCTGGGAACTGGCCTCCCTGCGGTGCCCTCCTCCCTCATCTCCTGCTCCCACGTTTGGAGTGGGCCATTGTGCAGTGGGGGTCACCGATCCTCCCCCAGCCATGGAGGTGTCCGTTGCCACAACAGGAACATGGGAAACGATCTTCACGGGGAGTTTGGCTACAGGCAGGTGGTGGCATGTTTGCCATGGCGATGTGAGTTCCCCGTGGCATAAGCGAACCCCAGCCCAGCTCTAAGTCCAAGCTGAAATTAAACGGTTACCCTGTGACTGGACGTTGTTGTGTTGCCGGTCTCAGTTCTCTCTGACTCCCCTTCTTTGCTGTTCAAAACAGGTACAAGGACAGCAGCCCGATTGCTGAGAACAGCTCCTGCTACGAACTGGACCCTCTGAAGTACAGGCTGGTCATAAGGGATCTGAGAGCAAAGCATGCTGGGAACTACACCATATCCCTGAGCAACGCTAAGCACGGCCTCTATGAAAACCTCACCAGTCGTCTGGTTGTATTGGGTAAGCATCTGGTAAAGCCGGCTCGCTCTACCGCTTGTTTCTCTGCTGCCACTTTCCAACCCAAGCAGGAATCGTGTGCTGACGTGGGACAGCCTCGCTGTTTACCTGATGCACAGAAACGTGATTGGTATAGACAGAAAGGATGGTGATTCTTACTCCTGCAGGACTGCTTCAGTCACAGTCTGTGTGTGATAGAAAAACAAAGGATCAGCGGCAGGGGTCATCTCGTAGAAAAAGAGGTGCAGGAGCTTATTAGCATAACTCATGAGCATAACTTATTTGCATATGCCACACCCCCTGACATCACCGGAAGTGTGTCAGGAGGCAACACCCACCACTCAGGCTCCACTGGACTGCTTTGCATTGTTAGCTATTGGGGGGGACGGGGGATGTGCAGATCTGTCCTCGCAGAGGAGGGAGAGCTTGTGCCTGAATAAAACTTGGTCTTAAAGGTGCCACTGGACTGTTTTGGACCGGGGGCCGGGGGGAGCTCTGCGACTTACCTGGCTGCTTCTTGCTCTGACTGAGGGCTGCTGGGAGCAGGGGGTGGGGCTTGTTGCATGTGCCTGCCCCCTGGGCTCTTTACTGCCGGAGCTCTGCTCCTGTGAGCTCCTGCAGGAAATGACCCCTGATCAGCGGTGTCTCTGTTCTGAAGGCTGAAATTGAGAGCTGATGGCTACCACAGGGGTGTGATGCAGGCAGTTGCATAGCAGGGTGGTCTGCAGGTGTGCAGGAAAGGAGAAAATGTGTGTGGGGTGCCCACTGACACCTTTCCTGGTGCCTGCCAAGTGTGTTTAGAAAGTGGGTGGGACCAGGTGTGGTTTTTGCCCCATAAGTGGTTGACCACTGGAGATTTGACTGGCTGTGAAGATTTTTTTTTAAATGTTGCTTTGGCACCAGCTGCCACCAAAGCACAAGGATCTTCACTGCGTGACTGATGGTAGGCTGTGGCAGCCACTTTAGGGTTGGCTTGGCTTGGCCTCCTGCGGCGGCCATTTTGTGACTGCGCCCAGCATACTGTGTCAGAATTCCAAAGCTGCCGACAGGCTTATTCGGTGAGCATCCCCCACCTGGAGACAGGATACCCACCTCCCTCCCAAACTGCCTTCGGAAGCGGAGCATGAGAGAAATCTCTCTTTCATCTTGGAGGGCGCTGCAGGAACATGTGGGGTGTGCTCACTGGGTCTGACAGCTGTGGGGGGGAGGCGGTGGTGGCGGTAGCAAAAGGGTGGCTGGCTCCAGAGGTCTCCAGGCCCCACCGGGAGGTTAGCATCTGCACCACAAGGCAGCCTCGCCTAGGGCACAGAAACACCTCGAGCCAGTCCTGACTGGCTGGGAAGGATGAAGGTGTGGGATTCGTGCTTAATTTATAGAAAAACATGATGCCAGAACTCCAAGTCTGTTTGAAAACATCACCTTCTGGTCTGGAGGTGGTTTCTTGATATACCCGGTAGGTAAGGCCTCTTTGTGCTTTTTTGGTGATAGTCTGCACTTTCCACCTGCTCAGAGGCAAGTTTCATCTCTTTTTTTACTTCACATGTTCCTCATTTAAGCCATGCCTTGAAAAGGACTGAGCAAAGAGATGCTCAAGCTAAGTTGTGGCACAAATGCAGCCACAGGTGAAGACAAGGCATGCAGATAAAGTGTTAACTATAGACAGCAGAAAGGAGGAGTTAAGGAACAGGAATCCACAGTCCAAATTGTACCTGTGCCACAAATTCACTAGGTGGACTTAAATATCCATACTGTCTCTTAGACTCAGCCCCCATCCATGACAAAATACAGTTTAATAACAATAATACCGAAAATGGGTGTGAAATTTTATTTTGAATTTGGCTTTCTGTAGAGGTGTTGGGCCTTTTGATTGCTTTGGTAGGCACCTAATATGAGTTCTTATAAGCTGTCAAATGGGGAAAGACTTAACATCTATATATCTAATAGCCAAGTTGCCCCCGGAGTGCGGATCGCTAAATCAGCGCTCCGGGGGCACTTGGGGGGGAGGGGGAGGTTTGTGCACACGTGGGCCGGTTCCCACGTGTGCACAAAAATGCTAAAAGTAGGGGGGGAAATGGGGGGAT